TGCGACGTGCGCGGCTAAGCGAGCTGAGCCGCCTCACTCAGTCCGTCACCCCTGGGAGCCAGCTGGCGGACCCTGGCAACGGGTGCGTGTGGACTTCGCCGGACCGATCTACGGCAGCAGCTACCTGGTGATGGTGGACAGTTACACCAAGTGGATGGAGGTGGTGGCAATGAAGTCGACTACAGCTGGGCGGACGGTGGCTGCTCTACGGGACATGCCCGCATGACTGGGCCTGCCGCTGCAGGTGGTAAGCAACAACAGCCCTCAGTTCGTCAGCGAGGAGTTCAGCACCTTCGTGGAAGCCAACAGCATCCGGCAAACCAGAGTCGCGCCGTACCGGTTTGGCGGGGCGGGCGGTCGGCACGTTCAAGAACGGCCTGAAGGCGACGATGGAGGCGGGCAGCGCTGCTGAGCGAGCGCTGGCGACGTTCCTGCTGGCGTATCGCTCGTCGCCTCACGCCGTGACCGGGCGCACTCCAGCGGAGATGATGTGCGGCAGAGGCCTGCGGACCCGGCTCAATCTGCTCATCCCGAGTGCTGATGCCACTCTGCACGCGGCGCGGGAGCGGCAACAGCAGTCTGCAGGAGGACGAGTCCGTGAGTTCCGGATCGGCGGCTCGGTGTGGACGCGCGGCTACAGTGGAAGACAGCAGTGGATCCGGACCTGTCTCGCACGAGGTCGACGTGGGACATGCAGTCTGGTCACGTCACGTCGATCAAATCCGGGCGGCGGGTGCCGATGACGACGCCGACGGGGAAGCGGATGCCGCCGCGCCGGAGCAGCAAGTGCGCCTCCGCACTCTGGGCGCGCGCTGGTCGCTCCGGGGGATGCTCCGTCGAAGCGAGCCGATGTATGCTCATCGGATCATATCCATATGCTCCTGATGGTACGTCTCAACTGGAGCAAAGCCCGATACGGATTCAACGGTTCATGCCACATCTTGGTAAGAACGGCTTTATATTTTGCAGCCCTAGAACGCCGGCTGCATGTAAATAAAATGGGGTGCTATGTTAACTTAGCCCTCCCTCACACTAAGTGGGTACATTACACGCAATGGTGGCACCTGTTGTCAGGGGTGAATATTCGCAAAACCATTTGAGGATGGGACAGATAGAAAATAACAAAACTACCCAGAGATGTATGAAATCCTATTTATCCTTCAAGGCGTCACCACGACGTTCGGGAGGTGAAGGGACTCTCTCCTCTCTCCCACACAAGCCTCATACCCCTTGAGCTTGAGCATGAAGAGCAGGAAATTAGGTCCACTCCTGCCTGATGCGCGACCTAGGATAACTACGACACTATGGTAAGGAAGGGATGGATAACGTTTTGCTAATAACCTTGGTAATGCAAAACTTTTCATCGGCGTGGATACGATTTTAGTTGACTTGCAAGTTTAGTATGTCAGCATTTCATGCAAAACTGCCTGTATACTATGTGCATAAGCATTGACTTGAATTTAAGAAACAGTTCAGTATGCTCAATCCTTCCCTTATGCAAGGATTTCTGCATTCAATCTGCATGCATTCCTCGTTCAACAGCTTCCTGACTTGAGAAGAGAAAGATAGATCACTCGTGCATGGACCACGGTGGTAGTCAAAAACCGTAGCGTGTGAAAACATTAATGTCATCTTCATTCGGATGCAAGATTGGGCACGTTACCGATCGAGGAATACTTTAATAGCGCCAATGTGAAAAGCTTTAGGAAATTAGCCAGCTGCAGCTCGATAGGCCACCGTGTCTAGGCGAATCGTGTAAATCTCGCTGAAGCGCGGCGTGCGAAAAAGGCGGCGCCCGTTCTATTCAAGTCGGCCCATTGGTAACTTTTTGGACGATGTTCGGTATTTATAGCTGAGGCATTTGCATTATTACAGGCTCTGGTTTATACGCATACCAATCGCATCGTCAGATGTGTTATATGCACAGACTCTTTGTCCGTTGTAACAGCCTTGGGAAGCCCGATATCTGACAACCCAGTTGTGATCCACTTCCATGAGATGGTCCATCAGCTTAATGAAATGGGCAGCACAATCATCGTCGTCTGGGTCCCAAGCCATTCGTGGCAACGAGGCAGCGGATGCGCAAGCAAACATGGGTATTAGATTGAATGGCGTGTGTAATTTTCAAATGGGTCCTAAAGATTATTTCCCTGAAGTACGTCGAAGTGTTCATGAATTGTTCGACAAACATTGGACAGAATACAACCCTAGTACTACTTAAACACGCATCAAAGAAGAGGTAGGAGGCTGGGTTTCTTGTAAGCGAGCAATCAGACGTGAAGAGATAGTGCTGTGCCGGCTGAGACTTGGGCATACTCGTTATACCCACTCATATATGATAGACAGAAACCCCCAAACTGAATGTGAAAGTTGTCAATGTCCATTTACAGTACATCACATCCTTCTTGAATGTCCCGTATATTCTAATGAAAGACGATCGTTGGTAACATTATGTCAACGGTCAGGAGCACAATTCTGTGTGAGGTCTCTGATAGGAAATGAATTCCCAAACATCATTGATGAAGTGCTGAGATATGTGCAACACTGCGACCTGCTGAAACGATTGTGAAGTGCTACCTTCGCGTACTGAACATGTGCAATTTTTGATTTGCTGTCATCGACTGTTGCCATGCTGCTTATACTGTTTTATTTGTCTGAAATGAGTCGTTTATTTTCTGTATAAATTAAGTTTACGGGTATATCTTTGTACCATGTCTGAATGAATGCATGAGAAGTGTGAGAAGCAAGGAAGTGGTACAGGAACTATGTGTAGCATATGTGTGTATGTGTGATGTGGGCGCGTGCGTAAGCGGAAGAGATTACATGAATGAGGTATGAATGAGCATGGAGAAGACAGCGGAATGTGCGTGAATGCGTTAGAGTAAACGGCATGGCAGATGTGTGAATTTCTTATCCAGCAAATGTCTTGTTAAACCGTACTTTTTGTGACTACCGACTGACTAATGACTCTGGCCTGAAATGTCTATCATGTGGCGAAGCTGTGGTTAAAAGAAAGTGATAAAAAGAGCCTGGCAAAAAAACGGACTTTTTGATCTCTTGTTTTGGTTCACTCATCATATTATAGATCTGAACATCTAACACCGAGCTTTCTAGAAACACACCGATTATGGCACCTCCATGCTACACCAGTGTCCTACACGAAAATTATTGACCAATGCAAAACATTCCTTCCACCCTCGGTCGAGCTTTGTTGCCAACTGCGCTACCAAACTTCTAGGACAACACAACGATGACGGACGCCTGGGCCCAAGAGGCTATGCGCCCTAAGCCAGCAAGAACAAGAACAAGCGCTGCATTGGCATTGACAGGTGTACTGCTGAGGCCATACATTCAGTGAAGGGTGCAGCTCGCTCAGCGTGGAGAATATTGGTAGGTAAGTCACGCGCAGACTCCGCAGCATGTATAGTTGAGGTTGTGGCACTTTCTGCTGGGATAGGCATGGGGCCAGCGTGGGTCCTGACACACGGGAAAAGCTCTGTTCCAAACAACTACAAAATTACATGCCGGTACATCAATTTTGTGCCAGAAAAAAAGGGGAAATGTTGATCCATTAAAGGCAGTGCATAATGTACTCCGCCCAAGGTTCATTGTGTAGCCACTCATTCCAAAATGGACAGGCAGGGTCGTTGTCCGACTGTTACCACCCTGCCGGCTGGGATGGCATGGCCGTCGGCAAGTTTGCAAGCACTGTGACAACAGCTTGTGAGGCTCGGCACGCAATGCCACTGTTAGATGTTGCCGATGCACAGCGCGTGTCGACAGTTTTCCGCGAAGTATGAAAACCGAAACACATCACGATCCGTGTTGCCGTCGATCGCGCAGTTCACAGCGACTCTGTTGTGCCGGCCACGCGCTTAGTTCAGCCCGGTGCTCCCAGCAGCACCCAGTGCCTCGAAAACGCGAATTCAAAATGCTACAAACACATTGACCAACGTCGGGTAGTGTGCACTGAACCTGCTGGTTCAAACAGCACCTCGATGAGACATTACGCGGGAATCGACGACATGTAATCCCACTTTAAGCATCGCACGCCTCACTCAGTCACTTGGTCACCGGCGCGGCCGTCGACAACCGTGACAAGACGCATCCCCGCAGACTCAGAGGAGTCGGCAACCGCCATACGCCATCAGACTCTCAGTGCAAGTCATGGTCCGGAGGCGGCCATCTCCAAGAAAAATGAAATGGAAAAACCCGGAAGCAGCCAAAAGCGAAAAATGCAAGCGAAACCCGCGCTTCGACCGTAGTCTCCGAAAATCGCTTTCCAGCAATTCCAACCTCGAACCCGAGCCAGAGCGGAAGTCATTTGAAGCCACAGCAACCCGATTCGTTCATTCCTCTGCCGCCGCACTGCCGATCGGGTCATCAATTCCAGATCACGGCATCCGTGTAGCCGCACATGTGGCGTTCGTGGGTGTACGGCCAGCGTCCCAGATCGGCCGCAGCGATAGCAGACACCGCATTACTGAGCGGCTGGCCTCCCGGGGACGCTTTCTCTCAGCAGGCATGAACGACAGCTCGAATACTGCGTTAACCCGCACCTGGTACAGCACGGCGTACCGGTGAGCCTCTGCCTAACATACTGAGAAGCGCCGTATCAACCACCTATTTGTAAAGTGGTGCTGCGCGACTTGGTCTCCAGGCCTTTTAAGCCCTCGCCGTGTGTGCATCCCGGTTGTACGTCGGCACGGGAGTGAAAAGGCACTCACCTACACCTAAATGAGGGCCAATTCAATGGTGCACTGAAACATCCAGCCTCCAGAACATTAGACGCACCAGAGCGTGGAGACGCAGGCGGCTGACTTGTGAGTACACGATGGCCTTGCGTGTACACGTACATGAGCGCACACCGTTTCAGCGCGTGTTTGTCCCGCTGCCAGAGTTCTGAACGAGCCACACCTACAGCCGTGCTCCAGCCGTGTTCCCACAGCATGTCTGACCACGTGATGCAGCGCGAGCGTCAGCTGACGTTGGGGACTGACCTGCCGTGTCGGGCCGCGGGCGGTGCGCAGGCGGCAGGGCGACCTCCGCCTCCACCGCGTCGGCCGCCGCTCCGACGATCAGCCCCACCTCCTCGTCTAGACGCAGGGCCTTCCACGGACCGTCGTCGGTACATTCTGGAACGAGACCCACCGTCAGGGGGCGGTGGGTGGGCCCAGCCGACGCCGATCCATCTCGGTGACGTAGGCCACGGCGCGGTGCTGTCGTGGTGAGTCCAGAAGCCCGCGATGACTGCTAGAAACTGCTGAGCCTGACCCACTGACCACGTCACAAAAGATCCCCCCCCCCCCACGACACCGTGCGCGGCGGATGCGTTACATGCAACCCTTAGCAAACAGCTGCCGGATGCCATGGCCGCCCGCCCGGCAGCGCGCCGCCGCTGCTTCATGGCGGTGACCCGGCCGTGCCGCCCACCCACCAGACCGCACGCCGCTCGGCCCGGCAGCAGCCGGCCAAGGTCACAGGTCAAGGTCAAGGTCAGGGCAAAGGCCGACCGGGCCGCGGGACAGGACTGACGGCGGAGACCGCGACAAGCACGTCAGCAGCTCAGCATAGCAACACACAGCTCAACATAGCAGCACACAGCTCAACATAGCAGCACACAGCTCAACACAGCAACACACAGCTCAACACAGCAACACACAGCTCAACATAGCAGCACACAGCTCAACACAGCAACACACAGCTCAACATAGCACCACACAGCTCAACACAGCAACACACAGCTCAACACAGCAACACACAGCTCAACACAGCAACACACAGCTCAACACAGCAACACACAGCTCAACACAGCAACACACAGCTCACTGCCGCGACTAATTCTACTGTTTCTCGCGCGAGATGCCATGTGGGGGGGGGGGGGGGTCGTGTATGCTTTACATCGTCCTGGCTTTGCAGTGCGAAGTGAGCCAAACCCTCCGAGTGAAAGCTGACGGAATCACTCATAAGGGTCGACAAACAAGCACACTGTCAGGCGATAGCCATAGACAGGGAGAACCAAGTTGTCATATTTGGGGTCAGTTTCTTGATTGCAAAACTGGTCGTACACAACGGAGCAAAACTGGCACCAATGCAATCACGTAAATGTCTTTTGCTTGAGGTTGCGGACAGACCCGTCTGTATGAAAAAGCTACGTTGCTTGATTTCTACCAGCCTTTAAGATTTCATATTCGTTTGCATTGTATTCTACAAATCAAATGTCCACTCGGACATTGCAAACGCACTTTGGATATTTTATATATTATGAACACATTAGGTGCTGGGCACATGTTATTTTGGCTGTTATATAACACAATGAGTGTTACTACTAGTGACTAAAGCAATGACAAAATTGTCACCCAAGCTTACTGACCATGTCACTACAAACTCAAGCCCTCATTTGGATAACACTTTTGCATTTTTCTAAATGTTAGCAAACTGCACATTTAAAAACCTTCCAGCTTGAGCAAGAGAGCTGCAGTGTTGAAATGTACTCACCATCATCAGTGCGGTCAAAGCCCAGATTCATGGCCAGCGGTCCGTGGAGGCTGTGGCGCACCTCTCGGGGCGGCAGCGGCCGGCCCAGCGCCTCGTTCAGGCTCACCACCACCAGGTGCACATACTGCAGCTCGTAGTGCAGGTGCGTGGCCGCCAGGCGGCGGGCGCCGGCCCGGGGCCGCAGCAGGGGCGCCAGCCGCTGCCGACAGGCGGCGGCCCGCTCCGGCGCCAGCCCCAGCTCCAGGGCCGGCGCCAGCCCCAGGCAGCCCAGCAGCACGGCGCGCACGTGGCGGCGGCGGCTGCGATCGGCCGTGGCGCGGCGCCAGACCACCAGCGAGGCGGCCAGTAGCCGCAGCGGCGGCGGCACGGCCTCCAGCGCCGCCGGCCGCAGCTCCAGCGTTGCCAACGCCAGCTCAAGCCGATGCGGGTCGCCGCCGGGCGGCGGCGGAGGCGGTGGCCCGCCGGACAGGGGTGGAGGCGGCGGCCCGGCGGCGGTCACCTCGTGCGCGGCCACATCGCGGCCGTGGCGGACGTAGAGCGTGAGCGACCGGGCCGGCGCGCCCAGCACGGCCGTCAGACGCGCCAGCAGGGGTGCGGCGGTCAGCGCGGCGGCCGGCCGGTCCACCTCCTCCACAGCAGGCTCCAGCAGCACCGGTGCGCCGCTCAGCGCGTTCACCAGGCAGGGCGGCGGGGCGGCGCCGGCCGGCGGTGGCACGCGACTCTCGGCAGACCACAAGACAGGGTCGTCCGCCCGCTGCAGGGCTTTGTACAGCCCGGGCAGCGGGTCGCGCAGGAACTCGAACGACGCGTCGGCGATGGAGGCGCCTACGAGGTTCACCTGGACTTCTACGGACTCCCGATCTATTGCGGGAAGAACGCTCAGTACCTGCAAGATCAGCGAGCATTAAAGGGAATGCTCCCTATTTGAAGATATTGAAGCAAGTATAATATATGATTAGATAAGCTTACTTGCAACTACTGGTGTACTTTCACGTGGAAACGGCCGCTCTCGACAGCACTATTCTCTGTTCAGTGAACATGCTCCCCACGCCACTGTTTGACTACGTCATCCAGCCCTGCACAACATTGAGAGCCAATTGAGAGCCGTCATATCTGGAAATCGTGCTGACGAACGCTAGATATGAACAACTCGACAATTGCATTTTCTTGGCCTTGCTAGCCACATGGCTAATCACATGGCGGGATTTGAGTGACGTTGTAGCGTCATGGATGTCTGAGTGCCCTCGAAATAGTCTGCACATCTTCGCGGGCGCGTAGCTAAGAAACTAGACAAGTTTATGACTTAAGAAGAGCAAGGCTGTGAACAGCACCAAATCATCTTCAAGATGGCCATTTCAATTCAAACTCCCATACACACATAGAACATTCCCTTCCATCAAACGCAAGTAAGACAGGCTCCAGACACTGACCCCTGCAGTAAATTTTGGCATTAAGAATCATAGCTTATCATGAGCTTATGTGAGTAATTTTAAGAGCACACAAATTTATATGCCACTTGCACTTGCATTTAGAGCGAAACCAAACTTGAAATAGCCTCTATAAAATGCCAGTGACGCCACAAACCAACGCGAAATGCCACATCTAAATTCATGAAGGAAACTCATCCGACCACTGGCAAACAGCTCGAAGATTTCCTACGAAAAAAAAACAGCTTAACTTTCACGGTACACGGCTTAGCCTGGCCCCGGCCACGCGCCCTACCTTGGCCAGAGCCTCCTGCGGACAGGTGTTCTGGGCGAGCCAGCGAAGCAGCGCCTTGATCCGCTGCCCGGGCCGTTCTCGACCGCCTGCGGGCAGCCCGCGCGCCCGGTACAGGCGCCTGAAGAACGGGTCGAACGTGGCCGCCGGCAGCACGTCGTTGCCGGGCAGGCTGGCCAGCAGGGGCAGCATGCGGGACGACAGGCCGTAGTGCTTCAGGAACCTGCCGCGGCGCAATCGGGTCGCAGGTCAGGGTCATAGGTCACAGGCAGAGGCCGGGATCTGACGCGCCGGTTGCTTTCCCTCACCGGGCGATAGCCCCGTTCCGACGTCAACGATAATTGGGTGGCTGTTGGACAGCATGCCGAGGGCACTCAAGTGTCCTCGGGATATACAAGCGGTTTAAAAGTACGTCCAAACAGCAGCAGCACAACAGCTTGTGCCACAGATCCGCAGAGACTAGCGAGGCACGACGAGCCCGTCTCCTGGGGCCAACCATGCCCCCCGGGACCCAGCGGCGGCGCGCGACCTACCGCTCCGGCCGGAAGACGACGCAGCTGAGGAAGCGGTCCAGCCGGCCCGCCGGCGCGCCGGGCCGTGCACGGCCGCTTCCAGGGCGTCAGCCGCACGCACGGAACCGCCAGCGCGTACAGATCCGAGTCGTCGGTGAGCACGGCGCAGCCGAGCCGGGCGCGCGAGCGCGGCGGCGGGGCCATCGGCCTCGCGGGGGCACTGCACCAGTGCCACGCCCAGGCCACGCACTGCCTGCCAAGTGGGGCGGGCCTAGGCACCGACTGTCATACTGATGGCTGTCACTGTGCCTCAGGGTTGCGACTCAGGGATGTGCTCACGTGCGCTTCAGAGGACAGGGACATGGCAGGACATGGACATGGCTGGACATTTTGTGTAATGTGGTCACACAGCAGGATGTAAATGGTTGCCCCAGCCAGCAGAACACATTCATGATCATGGAAGCATTGACAAAACCTATGTGGTGGCCATGTTGGGTGATAAATGGAATTTTGCTACATGCTGGCCTTTTACACTGATTTTATTATGCAGCTTCAAGTGTGTGTCTATGCACAAAATCCATACAAAGTGTACAACACATTTGGACATGTGCTTGGGAGCAGAGGGGGGGGGGGGGGGGGGGCATGCCAGAGCCACAGAGGTACATCAGTAAAGCATCCTATTTACTATCCAGTGTCTCAATACCTGCCAGCAGAGGGTCAAACAGTAACACCAGCAGCCACCTGATGTAGCTAACATCTAAGAATCAACTGAACATGTTGCAAATTTCATGCTGCTGATGGTACAAAGCTTTATCCAACTAGCAGCTGTATGCACAATTGAGCCCAATGTGAGCTACTGGGCTAAGCACAGTACTAGTCAAAACAATGAAATGTATGCACAAGTAGGTGACAATCATCACAATACTACTCCTAGCTGCAGGGCTGGTTGGCAAGAACAGAGACATCATCAGCATGTTACTCCTACCTCAATAAATACTGTCCTGGCCAATGGAGGGAACACATGTTCTTGATGATGCTTGGATGCTGAAGCACGCACAGATGTGCAGACCTTTTCTTTAAGGCGACTGACTTGCTTTGGAAGTTTTGCATCATTTCTATCCCTTCCACCATCCAGAAGGACCACTGGGATGATATTGCAACTGCGACATAGAATAAATAACATAAACATTTGTATCCCACATGTCTTCCATACAAGCTTAAGCTCATCTCTGGTATCTTTGACCTGCATGCAACAATGCAGCATTTCAATGATCAGGACTGTGACCAGAAGTGACAAAACAGTTTTAATCCTATGACATGTACCACTCCATAGACAAATTATTCTGCTGAATAACAAATTCTTGATCTCATATGCCCCTAATATGCCTCTCATTGGCATGAGTGAAGATGTACTCATCATGCCCCTGCTGAATCTCCTGTAGCATAACCTTAAAAGTTTTTGTATGTACTATCTTGATATTTAAAGCACCACAAAAACAAACCAATTTTGTGGTTCTCTCTTGCACCTTCCCAATGACATACTGGCCCACCTTAAGAGCTGAACAACACAGAGTTAAAATATTTACTGAGACATCAAAACCTTCTTCCCATTAATGGTATTATTTTTGGTCAACAGCCATTTATCTATCAGCCATGGGTAATGATAGACATCAATATGCCACTGCATGGATCTAATCAGCACTGATACCCCACACAGCAAATGAATATGAAAGACCACATTTGAGTATGAGGTTCAAAAACTTGTTTTAGGAAGGTACTTCACTCCAAAACCATATACCTTTTCAAGTCTGAGAAGAAAAGCTCCACTTGATTGGCATACTGAAGATAGTCTGTACCTGAGCCCACACAGGTGCCCCTATTTGTAAAAAGGTGGTGAGCAACATTATTTCCATCAATAACCAAAAAGCAGCTCGCTACATGCTCTTGTTGAAAGAATACTTTAGCCCTTTGTTCAATAAATGAGGACAGACCAAGGATGCCCATGAGCACAGCTTAGCTCACTGAAAAAGTATCACACCAGTAACATGTCTTCTCAGCCGAAGATTACTTCAACCTGCTGAAAGAAAATTATTGCAGACAGTGCAATTCCATCCCATGGTAAGTTGACTGATTAAAGGTGTATAGCTGTCAATCACTATAATATCATGCAAAGGTAATGCACAATATCATAGTGAACATAAGACTGCCTATCAGCAACCTTGACTGTCACCATGTATGACTTGCTTGGTTCGATGACCAAACCCATCTACAGGTATCATAAGCTTTCTGATGAACCAGTCTTGCACTGAATAAAGCAAATCACACCATGTTTCTAACCTTACATCTCACATATTGGTGCCAAACAATCTCAGAGCATAGGCAAAATCGTAGTGTTGTAAAGCGTCGCTAAACGCGGTATGCAGCGTGTACTTCATGACACTAATTCCCCTTGAGAGAAACCAGCACGTCTTCACGAGAAGACCAGATACGAGCACTGCATGCAGCACGCGATTTTCTTCGCGCCTTGCCATTAACGCATTCCGCGCGCCGCGACCGGTCCAAACAATACACATCTCACCGAAGTGGTTGGACGATCCACGTGGTTGGGCGGCGCCAAGGCCCTACAATAACAGCAGCGCCAATAACCCAATTTAGCAGAAGACGGTCAGATAGGTGTCTAGTATATAAATATAGGTGTAACACTGGAGGCTGCACCTGGCGATGCTTGACGCAAGCGTTTTTATTGTGAATGCATTACCGGTTTAAGCTGGCATTGTGCTATCCAGGAAAACGCAAAGAAAATAAACGTTGAAGCACATTGAAACAAAACCTCTCTTGCATTAAGAACATTCGCAGCGATAAAGTTCTTAACCCTGGAGCGGAATGACCCAATGACTCTGCTCTTCCATCGCAGGCGCTGCAGCCACCAATCTATTTTCCTTTCTAAGGAAAAATAGAAATAAAGTAACATATGTAAATATAATATATTTAAATAACGTGAAAAAACACAATACAAAAGGTTCTCCAGCATCAACAAGATTCTAATGTCTTCAGTCCAGCATCCGGTGGGCCATGCGAGCTAGCAGGAAAGCGAAGCATGCCCTATGGCAATAATGCTGCCAACTAACCTTGGTAGGGAGATGTGGTATTTTGAAGGAGCTTGTAATGTGGGCTCGATGTTGGGCATCCGGAGGCGAGCGTCTGCGATCCAGTTCCCGCCATTGCCTGACATTCCGAGGAAGGAGTTCGTTTCGCAGAGCAGTGGTATTAGCAAATTTGCCGTCACAGGTGGAAGAGCCGAAAACAGAGATCAGTGCGTCTGGTGAGGTGAGTCTAACGAAACTCTAAGTTTCGTAATCGCAGCCACTTTTGTCGATCGCGAATGTGGCTGCTTTGAAATATCGATTTGACCCTCATGGCGTGCATTATGCACTATGACTTTACCGTTATACTCAGTTCTGGATTCAAGGAAGATGTCAGGGGACCTACGTTGGAGACGCGTGCATCGCTGCTTGTAGTGCATCGCAAGGTTACATGGACTAGTAGAATGCTTGACTGGGATATTATCTTTATTAATTTTTTCTCACGTATTCAAGTCACATATACGTACATGTGGGCCTTTGGTGAGAATTCATCTTTTCTTTCTTGACTATGTCTGGTGTGCACCAAAAAATTCAGTGTATGTCTGTATGTCCATTATAAATCAGAGGGTGTAAAGTTGGTGCATTGATAGCAACCAACTTAGTGCAGAGTGATGATGATTCAGGGAGTGCGATGTTATCAGTGCAATGCCAAAAAATGTACTCAAAGCAATTGATTCATGATAAATAATAATTTTGAAATTGAGCCCTGTTTGGCTTTGCCTGGTTTTGGGGCATGTGGGGATGAGGTTTAGCAGATAGCACAATGATGTCAGTGCACCAATCTTGTGTAGAAGTATCGGTCATAGTATACATTGGTACCTTATGTTAAAAAATAGCATTGTGCATCAATCATTGTTTAAAGGGAGAACATATTGTAAATGATTGTAAAACAGGTTGTCTAGACTCTTCCTTGGAACCTAAATAACTATGATTGTGTCTCTCCATGAAACATAGTGTTAATGCAGTTTTCTGAATAAAGGCAAACCTTGCCAGTCCCTCCTGCCATCTAAGTAAGCCACCATCAACTATGACCCTAAGTATCCAAAACATGAAATATTTTTTTTGGTTATCATATTGTTCCAATATTATATATGCTTGACCTTACTTTGACCAGCAAGTTTGCTTATTGTAGTTTTCATGGTAAAGTTAAGATGGAGAAATCACCAGAATTTAAGGCTTGGTAGCCAAGTGCTGCTATAAGGAGCAGGAGCAAGGTATTGCAGCATTCAGACAAGTGGATATATTGCCCAGGTGGTTGGTGGTCTCATTCAGGCACTCATTTACATGATGATTTATTAGTGTGGTCTAGGGCTACTACCTGGTACTCATGGAAATTCATATATCAGAGCAACACATCCTTAAAAGACCCAGAGTAGCTTTCTCGTGATGATAATTGGACCTCAAGTGCAAGCCAACAGCAGAGGTTATTTTGTGCCCAGAGCAGCCATTCAGTGTAACATGATTCATTGGGATGTAACTCCCTCCCTATCCTCCTTCCATTTTGATTCATCATGGACAAATACAGATTATGCATGGTTCCATCACAAGCTGACAGTGATGCTTGTCTACAGACATCACATTGCTTGTCTGGAAAGGGTGTAGTGGTATGTGGGAAGGAATGTGTTTGGGGCTGTATGCATGTAGAGCTACTGGCCAGCCCTGTTATAAGGCACTAGTTGTGACTGGCAAGCCAGGTTACATGACAACAATTTTTATCAGTGGTGCCAGATAGGACAGGAGACTGCTGCATCCTGCAGTGTGGCTTCACAGCTTCTGTCTGCCTTCTACATGGTGATGGGGCAGTAGGCAGACCAGTTACTGTTGGGGTAATGTTTAATGGCAGTACTGGAATGGACAGTGAATCTTGTGGGTGCTGGTGATAAGTCACCAAGTTATTTGAGCAGTGCAGAATCAGCTACTGGGTAAATACTGAGACTATGGGTTCTGATAGACAGGCTCCTGATCTGAAGGTGTGGGCCAACTCAGTGGTTCTATAGCCAGTGGTGCTTTTTTTGTTGCATGTCCAGGCTCTAGCTGGCTGGACTGCATGGTGAGCATGAGTAACTTCACTACCAGCCTGGCCTTTGCTGCATTGGTGATGTTGGATTCCTATTCATCTGGCAAATCCAACAAATCCTTTCCAATTGAAGGGGTGACCATTGTAGGAGTCCACTTGGTCCACGTATCTGTAGCATGAGATCACGTGGTTGGGGGCATGGCTGCATGCATCTTTGATGCAATTGTATTTTCTGGCTGTCATGTTAGCCCTGACATGATAACCAGAGCTATATTTGGGATGAAGTAGCTGCCTGGCTGACTGGGTAGCACTCCGCTTCCTTCTCTACCACTTGATGTATGCATATTAGCAGGATGAGGCTCTGAGGGTTTTTAATGACTGTCCCTGCTTGAGCTTCATGATTGAGACACATGGCTTCTGGTTGCAAGGCTGCAAGGGGGATCAGATGATGACCCATCATAATTACTTTGTTAATGATGGCCAGCAGGGGGGAAAATTGACACTTTTCAATATGCTTCACTGATTATCCGCAGTCAAACATCCCCTTCTGCACTGCGGTGGGGAGCAGCCACATGCTGACGTCGGTCGCAGTTTCCACGCGCACTCTTGATGGTCACCCTCGCGCGGCGTGTGTTCGTGCGGATGATGACGGGCATCGGCTTGGTCTGCTCGCTGTCGTGAGGCTGGCATCACACCCGTGACGCTAGTGCTGGGGACTGGATGGCGGGCATGAAGTCTTTGACCTCCCCCGCAGCCCAGGCAGCCCTCCGTGACATACAGGCACCCCGTGATGTTCGTCTTGCTCCGCCCAATGGGGCGCGGTGAGAGCGCTCCATTGAGGAGAGAGACCAGCGGCATGTGCTCCACGACGATGTGAATTGAGGAGTCCTTAGCGATATGTAATGGTTAGGACGGACCACAAGCTCCAGGGCGCCTGTATCTTTTTCGGTTCGGAAGTAGTTGCGCTCGGTTTGGCTGGCAGTCCGCCTGTGGAACGCTACAGTCCACCAAGTCCCACTGGCCCCATTCTGCTGCATAATGATGCGTCTCAAAACGTCTGGCGTGCTGCCATCTACTCAGACTTCGGTGGAGTAGTCCGGGCTGAAGGAAGCCAGTACATGGGAGCTATGAGTTCTTTGATCCGTTCCAAGGCGTCGTGATGGCGTTGCATCCAGTAAAACTGGACCTGCATTCTTTGCCCATCGCGTACCAAGTGCTTCCAGTGTAGGCCTGATGCTTCTGGTGTGGTTCTTTGCCTTGTCGGCTTGTTGATTACGTTTACAACGCCACAGTGCGTACGATCACAACACTCACTTCACGTAAGTGTTGAGGCTGGCTTTCTTCGAATCGGACTCGGGGGTGCACACTGGATTTCGGGACCAGTCGGTGGGACAGACAAGGGGTGTGATGAATCCCATCCCCCCTCGGCTCGTGAAGCGCCGCGTCTGCATTGGCTCGGAGCGGTAGGGATGTGCGTCCGTGAGGCTGCGCGATCGTGGGAGAGAGGACTTCCGGGTCGATGTGTATTTTGCGACACTTTTGCTTGTGTTGTATCTGAAGCACCTCCAGGTGTGGGGCGACGATGGTCTGGTACAAGTCGTCTGGGCCGTGCTGTATTGCTTACGGAGCTTAGCATGTGCGATGTCTCAATGGGTGTCCACCATCCGCATCTGCTCAAACGGTAGCGCGGTGAGGCCATCGTCGTCGGGGTGTTGACTTTGTTGCGGTTGTTCTGTGCCTGAGCTCTTGGCTCGCCGCCATGTGCAGTGTTGTGAGTGGTGGTGGGCCTGAAATGATCACCAATGTCACCAAAGATCACCAATGACATCGCCACCAAATGCGCTCAGGCTTTCGTCCGTGGGTATCCACTTATGCAATTCTGTGTTGATCTGATCTAATCCGTAACGACATGCAATCCAGCATTGTGCCAAGGCATTGCCAGGTGATGTATGTTTCATCACGCGCGATGTGCCGGCAGGCAGCAGGTGCGCGTCATGGGGCTGTTCAATGTGCTGGCCACAGCGCTGGGCTGCGGAAGCGGGAGGTGAACGTGATTGTGGTCGGGCTGGACAACAGCGGCAAGACCACCATCCTGAACCACTTCAAGCCAGACCTTGAGCGGCCCGCGGACATCGTGCCCACGGTGGGCTTCAACGTCGAGAAATTTAAAGGTGAGTTGCAGGTCGCAGACAGGCTGGTTCTAGGTGGGAATGTGGGAGTATGTGTTCGCCATGGCCTAGTGACACAGGCCCGGGCGTCATTTTGTGCGGGTGAAAAACTGTTGGACCGCGCAAAATGTTACATGTAGCTCTTAAATTGTGATGTTGCTTGAATGTCGAGCATATTTGACTTGTCTTACTTGCTCGCTCACTTACTCACAATTTTTCACTCAGTCCAT